TTATTATTGATATTGAATATTTTCGCTTTAATCAATCTTTCATTGACCAGGGAAATACAAGACCCAGGATCATAAACAATTTTGACAGCGACATCATCAATATAACCAGGTAAGATAATGTGAGTTGATTTATCAGGTCTGCCTATCAGTTTAAAGGATTCTTCTCTTCATCTTTATCACCATCTTTTGCTTCAAAAGATTGATAATTGACGTTTACTGCTTTCTTCGATGGACAATCCCAATTCCAATGATATTGATTAAGTTTACCGTTCTTTTCACATGTAAAACATGGACCCATTACCTTTGATTTTTTCTTGTCATCTTTCTTTTCAAATGGTTTAGTCCTATTAGGATTCCATTTTTTTTCTGTTTTGACTGAATCATGGTCAATCTTTTTCAAATTCATTTCTGCTTTTTTAGCAATAACATAGAAACTAACGTAAGTCTCTGGATGATGTGAAACAAGGCACATCTTCATTTTATCGTCTAAACCATCTACCATCATTACAACTGCTTGTTTTTCAGTAAATCCAGCCAACATAGCTAGACGTCTACGTTTATTAAAATAGTCATCGACTCCAAGCTCTTTATCATATTTCGTGTGTAAAAACTCTGTTATTGGCTCGTGTGTTTTTACCCCAAAACGTTTGATCATTTTACCCTTCAATTCTGGCCAATCACAATTGTCATAGACATCTAAATAATAGTTTATAGCTTCACCTTCCAAATATTCACAAACGATTTCAAGCTTCTTGATATTAGACCAGCCATGTTTTCTGCCCATAATATCAATCAATTTAAACCAATTTTCAATGGTAATTTCATCTTTACCATTACCTTTGAACACTTGTATTCTTGGTCGGTGAGTTGGCAATTGTCTGGGTTCAGCAATAGCATTTTCGTATAAAGACTCGGTTTCAAATTCATCATCTGAGGATGAATTTTCATGAATAGTTGACATCCTGTCGACTTGTAAGATTATCGGTTCAATGTTTTAATAACTAAATAGAGTAATAATAATAACAATATTTTCTTAATCAAAAGTTGATCTGATCTTCTCATCGAAAACCTCCGCAATTCCGTTATATTGCTGGGTGGAGATAATTTTGTGATTGACTCAATGTTATTGTGAATTGGAGCGATTTGATTGAATGATATTTGATGCCCAAGATAAGTTACTGTTGTTTGTAGGAAAACACATTTTTCAAAGTTTAACTTAATCGTCTCTTTTCCTAGTGCTTGGAATAATAAGGTAAGATGTTGGTAAGGTGTTTCTTTGTCTCGGGAATAAACTATTATATCATCGATATAATTGTGGCAAAAATCAGTCAATGCATGTTTTTCAATTATTAGTCTGATTGTTCGTTGGAAAATAGCTGGACAATTTTTGAAACCAAAAGGCATTCTTGTCCATTCATAATGGCCGTTTTGGGTAACAAACGCCGTTTTAATAATATCCTCACTTTTAACTTTCATATGCCAGAAACCTGACCTCATATCACATAAGCTGAAGTATTTACTACCAAACAACTTATCAATGATATCGTCGATCCGAGGCATTGGGTAACGATCAGGTATTGTCACTATGTTCAATTTTCGATAATCGATGCAAAATCTCGACTTTTTTGTTTCTCCTTTCCTACTAACAATTGTTACTGGAAATGCATAAGGTGATGTTGATAGCCGTATGAATCCATGACTCAAAAGATCATTTACTTCAGCTTCAATTGTTTTCGCATCAATTGAAGCACATCGATATGGTCTCAAATTGATGGGTATATTTGATTCAAGATTAATAGTGCATTCAAAATCCCTAATTAAACCAACATCGAACTTGTTTTCGGTAAATAAACTTTTAAAGGAGCATAATATATCAAATAATTTATCGTCTGAATTCACCTTTGAGGCAACATCAATGAGTAAATTTGAATATGGATCCAGAATGCTTGTAAACAATTTGATTCTATCTGGATAAACAGACTCCTTTTTTGATTTGTGTTATTTGATAGTCATTTGAACAATGTAAATTGAACATCCAAAATCAAATCTAACCGATTAAAACTTCGATCATATTTGAATGAATAACAAAAATATGTACCTTCTTCTCAATGGATCCATTTTTAACCTAACATTCGTCAGACCTGATAATTACCTTCACCTGCAAGAGTTTTGAAATAATTCTTTTATAATTGATATCGAATATTTCGCTTTAATCATCTTTCATTGACAGGGAAATACAAGA